CAAAAAACAGGCAGCCCAGTCACACCTGCAGTCTCACTAGGCACATCTAACTGATCCCTCCAGTATGGCCTTCAGGCACAAACAAGTCGCTCCCCCTGCCCCCCACTATCACGTGCTTCACAGCACAGCTAGATGAGGTAGGCTAGATGACAGATGTGTAGGATACTCCAGTTCAGACAAACCACACACAAAGTGAAAATATGCTGACATACATTAAATTTGATCATATTCTGAATATCGTCTGAAGATGTCTAACAGGATGTGCTCAGTATGTGAAACAGAGACTTTAAGGGGAACAAGTTATTAACTATAGTTACCATTGTCACCAGGCTGGGGAAACTGCTGTGGCAATGCAAGGCAAGGGCTTCCCATTTCTCTCTGAAAGAACAGGAAGCACCCATCACAACCACTGCACCCTGTCTACAGGGTTTATTTCCCCTGCCACAGTCCAGCACTGCACCAGGATGTTCACAATGTAAAACTGGTCAGAGGTACGTTCTGAGGTAGAGCAGTAAGAGAAAGCAGTACTTCTGTCCTGTCTATCAGGGATAGTAGCATGGACACAGGGAGGGGACAACGTCAGGGAGAAAACTATTATTTTAAGTTGGCTGCACTTCCAGTTTCAGTCTAAAAATGCATGGACCATTCTGGGCACTTTCATCATTTCTCCAGCCACATCCTAGCTCCTTAACCCAAACACAGGGAATTGACGAAGGCAGTGAGAGATTTCCTTTGTATATGAAAATGCTCTTTATTCATATGTTCTTCCCCATAAGCTAATTAACAATGTTTAATTTATTTCAGATCAGGGACTGGTTTTTCCTGACTATTCTGCACACATTTTAATCAACAGAATGTAACTAACAAGCTTAAAGAGCCATTCAATACTGAATCAGCAGCTCTTACCATATGCTGAGGGTAAAAACACACTTCCCCAAAAAAGCTAAATGCAGAAAGACCAAGGATAGAAGATGTATTTAATACTGAAGAAGTCTAACAGGATGTGCTTAGTGTGTGGAAGACTGAGATGCCAAAGGGAACAAGTTATTCTTTAAATATATCTACCCTGGTCACCTGGCTAGCTAAGTTGGAAGAGCTGAAGATTCTTAAACATATCTACCCTGAGACATCTTTCCTGTTTTGTTGCAACCTTTAAACCCAAAACAATGTTCTAAAGGGGAAAACTCTAATTTTTTTATACAATTGCATCTTAGATGGATTCTTAGTGCTTTTTTAAAATACAAAAACCAAGTAATTTCTCCAAAAGAGAATTGTGGCCAGCAGATTTTATGACAACAGTATGGTTGAGTTCCAAATCCTTGAATATTTATTTATACATTCAGGTTTATTCTGGTTACCCATGTCAATGCTTGAGTGAGGGACAAAAAAGAATTACAATTAAAAATTTTAAATATAACTTCCTTTGACAGTCAGAAATTAGTTTATTTTGCTTTACATGCTCCATTCCAAAAGGAAGGGGGACTCTTTAATTGAAGGCCTGGTTGTTCCATTAGCATATTCATGTAATAAATACAGCTCAAGTTGAATATAGATGTTATGTTTCTTCATTTTAAAAAACATCTCAGAACTAAACACTAAGCCTGTTAAGAGAAGGGAAAGTAGCCTGATTTCTAGAGCTTGAGAGATAACATGTTACCTTGGAATCAACATTGATTCGCCCCATTTCTTGTAGCCCTAACAACTAAAACCACGAACTGATTTCCATTTTTAAATATTTTTATACAGCAATCTAAAAACACTCTTTCACAGCCAAGGGATGAAATATTTCACTGGAATTGCTTTTTGAATTATATGAAAAAGTTTCCCACTTGTGATTAAATGATTTTGTAAACCAATTAAGAGTTTCCACATTTTAAATTTTCTTCTTTAAGTTTAGTCTTCTTCCCAAGCTTGTGGTATCCAAAAAAAGAAAAGCAAAATGTGACTGACTGTAAAATTATCAATGATGATGAAGAAAAATAACATGGTAAGTTATTTTAAAGCATTAAGCTTAAATTTCAACTTGTTCTCATACCAAAGATTACTTGTATAAACAAAATTGCACAGCTTAATAATAACTGTAAAGCAAGTTCCAAACCCATGTTCCACCGTATGGATAGTCCACATTTTGTAGAAAAATAATACAGCAGCCCTCTGGAGACCTGATTTGCCTTCTTCCTATCAGCAACCACTCTCATGACTTAATCACTTTATTTTCCTTCATAGTTTCCATTCCCCAAGAACAGACCCCTAAACATCACTTATTTTCAACTTCATATGAATGGAGGGAAAAAAATGGTTGCCAAGCTGGGGGGTGAGGAGGAGGTAAAGGAGGAGATTGTGGAAGTGGCCTGGCATGGTTTTTATTTTCATTTTTCTGTCTTGTGACTGAAGAACTTTTCATGATTATGGATTACTTATTTCCTTTGGGGTGAAGTATCTGAAACTTAAAACTAAAAATAGCTTTATTGCTATAATTCATATACCATGATTATCCATTTAAGATACACACACAAAAAAAAATTCAATGGTTTTTGGAACATTTATGGATACAGTCATCAATTTTAGAACCTTCATCTCAGCTTTAATACTGGAACTTTTAGTGACCCTACCACCCTCTGGCCCCAAACCACTACATATCTACTTTATTTCTAGCTTTCCCCATTCTGAATTGTTGTACAAACAGAATCATATAACATGTAGTCTCTTGTGAGATTTTCTTTCACCTGGCACAATTTTTAAGGTTCATCCAAGTTTTACCATGTGTTAATGCTTCATTCCTTTTATGGTAGAATAATGTTCCACTGTATGGGTATTCTACATTTTATTGATATCTTCACTCACTGACAGGCATTTGGGGTGTTTTCGCCTTTTAAATATCACAAGCAATTCTACTATAAACATTTGTGTACGAGTTTTTGTGTGGACTTAATATTTTTATTTCTGATAAGTACATAGGTGAGGAATTGCTGGGTCTTAAGGTAATTGAGGACCTGCCTGTTTTCCAAAGCAGTTACATCATTTTACATTCCCGCCACTGGTGTATGAGAGTTCCAATTTTCCCACATCCTTGCCAATGCTTACCATCTGACTTTTTAACTATCCTAATTGTTAAATGGTAGTTCTTCAGAGATTTAACTTGCATTTCCCTTGTCTGTCTCTTTTCATCTATAACTATTTACTTATCTTCCTTGGAAAAATATTTAGATTTTTTTGCCCACTTTTAAATCCAGTTATCTTTTTGTTATTGAGCTGTATGGAGACCCTTAAATGTTTCTTTCCTTAGTGATTTTGATTCTTTATCTGAATATAAGGTCTTTGATTTTGTATGCATCTGATACTAGGGACTGAACAGAGGGCCTCTCACATGCTAGGGAAGCACTCTACCCCAGCCCATTTTTTATTATGAAATAAGGTATCACTAAGTTACCAAGACTGGCCTTGAATTACAATCCTACCTCAATTGCTGGATTAGAACCATGGACCACCTCACTGGCTCCACAAAGGGTCTTGTCTTTTTACTTTGTGATACCTTTGTTTTGCATTTCAATATAGCTAAATGTATGACTTAAGGAATTTCCCCCAAAGATATAAAAGTATTTAAGTATTATCTTGTACAGAACTATAAACCAAGCACTAAAAGCTTGATAGTTTTGTACATTTGGTCTAAAATTCACTGGACTTGATTTTTATATATTACACGGAGTACAATTTTATTAGTTTCTATATGGATATCCCCCCTCCCCATCTCACTACAATTTATTTACTGAAGACTGTTCTTCAACACCCCACCCCCCCCGCCCCGCATGGTGCACAACCAAGCCCTTAACTCTTAACCCCTCATTTTTTTTTCCTATAAAATAATAGATTAAATCAAGATTCCCAAAGCAATGCTTTGTTAAAATCCAGATTTCTAAGTCTCACCACAGATTAGAGGTGAGTGAATAGCAGGTTGAGTGCAAGGTCATACTCAGACTCTGAATTAATAAATTCCTTGGTGGGCTGGGGTTGTGGCTCAGTGGTAGAACACTAGCCTACCATGTGTGAGGCACTGGGTTCAATCCTCAGCACCACATAAAAATAAATAAGTAAATAAAGGTATTATATCCAACTACAACTAAAATATATATATATATATTATAAATAAATCCCTTGGCTAAAGTACATGCAGTTAGCTGATGGACACTGAGAAATCACTGGAAATTAATTTGGGGAGTAAGTGGGGTGGAGACTGGGGATTGAACCCCAGGGGCACTTAACCACTTAAGTCATATCCCCAGCCCTTTCATATCTTATTAGAGACAGGGTCTTACTGAGTTACTTAGGGCCTTGCTAATTAAATTGTTGAGGCTGGCTTTGAACTTGTGATCCTGGGGCTTCAGCCTCCTGGGGCACTGGGATTACAGGTATACCACTGTGCTCAGCTACTGGAAGTGATCTTCAATGGTGCCTTCCAGATTCTTCAAGTTTACAAGACTTTGGGGCACTTATTTATTAGAACACATATGAATAAAACTTAGTACAAAGAAATACGACACATTCGATATTCCACAAACTACATGATTTTATTTATAAAATTCAGCAAATTTTGCCCCATGTCCATTTAAATAGTCCTTAGTTACAGCTCTCAATTTCCAAAATAAAGATCTTTGAAAATGTACTATTACTAAATATTTTATTAAATTGATATTCAATGGGCATTGATAGTCAACTAGTCAAACACTACAGAAAAAGGGTTACTATAAAACAATACAAAAGTCTTACAGACAATAGCTTATCAATACTATTTTCATTCCATTCCTGGATTTTCTTTCATGTAGTAACCTTTATTCGTGAAATGATTTCATTTACAAAACTATTATTCTTTGCTATTACTTCAGCTTTCAGCTGTTTTAACTTTATTTTAATGTTTTCTTCCGACATTTCAGTAAAGGGCACTTGCTTCACCTTGGATAGAAACTCCTGAATAATTTTTTCACCTTGCTGAAAAATAAGAACATCCCAACAGTCATTAAGATGTCTTTTCTAAGTCACATTAGTTAGCAATAAATTGTTTTTAAAAAATTTCAATGTAAATATACTACCTACATTTAAAGAACATTTTTATTAGTATGTATGCAATGTCTAGGATACATAATAAAATCTTTAAAAATACATTTATTAATTTTTTTTCAGCTGCTGATAACAAAGGAATTGGAATTTTTAGTAGTTCTCAAGTCCCTCTGCTTTTATAATTCATATATAAACAATCTTCTGGGGAAAAAAAGAATTCAAGGTTTATTGTTAAGGCAAATAGTAACCAAAATTCTCTCTCACACACAAGCACACAATGCTTCTGTTTTATTTACAGTTTTTGCTGTGGTTATTATTTGCTATGTGACCCTTGGACATAAGCTCACATTCCATTCCTCACCTATAAAATGGGGATATTAATATTACCAACCTCATACATCTGTTATGAGAATTAAAAAGAGTTAATATGTGTAAGTTGTTTAGAACAGTCCTGACAAAGCATGTACTATATAAATGTATATTACTGCACATAAAGCAGAAGTAAATAGGATGCTTTCACACCAGGGAGTTGATTGGTAATAAGTATCTTAAAAGTAAATGGTAGCTGGGTGCAGCAGCACATGCCTGTAATCCCAGTGGCTTAGTAGGCTGAGGCAGGAGGATCATGAGCTCAAAGCCCCAGCAATTTAGCATAAAGCTTTAAAACTTTTGGATATATTATAATATCAAAAGCATACGACTTTTGTTCTACTTGGAAACCAACGATTCCATATAAGAACTTTTCCAATCCCAGATCACCAAAAGCAAGTAAGTTTGATATTGTAGCAACCATCTATCCTTCAAGTAAGAAGAAAAAAAAAAAAATCAACAACAACAAAAAACTCACTGGGTAAAAGTTAAAATAATGCCAAGTAAAAAGTTGTCATAATAAATGCTGCAATAAATGTTACAGGACTAGGCAGTGCATCAATTAAGATTCTTTTATTTTGTGTCTATAAAAATTTACTGCTGGGCTGGGGATGTGGCTCAAGTGGTAGCGCGCTCGCCTGGCATGCGTGCGGCCCGGGTTCGATCCTCAGCACCACATACAAACAAAGATGTTGTGTCCGCCAAAAGCTGAAAAATAAATAAATATTAAAAAAATTCTCTCTCTCCCTCTCTCTAAAAAAAAAAAAAAAAAAAAAAAAAAACTGTTAAAGAGAGAGAGAGAGAAAAAAAAAATTTACTGCTTAATTTTCTTTACTTAATATTTTCCTGGCATACAATTTTTTTTTAGAAATCTTCAAATAATTGTTTTTTTTTTTTTTTTTTGGTACCAGGAATTGAACCCAGGGCACTCAACCACTGAGCTACATCCCCAGCTGTTTTTCATATTTTATTTTGAGATAGGGCCTCACTAGTTGCTGAAGCTGGCTTTAAAACTTGTGATCCTCCTGCCTTAGTATCCTGAGCTGCTGGGATTACAGGCATACAAGACTTAGCTTTAAAAAAAACCAAAAAACAAGTTAGACATATGTTGTACCTTTCTGTGTAAACATCTAAGTTTGACCCCTTACTTAGAGAAGGCCCAAAATAAGCTCCATTCCTCCCATTAGAACAAGCATCCTGCCCACAAACAACTTATTTTAACAAACATTTGTCTCATACCACTTTATACTCTATGGTATATTTATTGTTCTTATCTCCTCAACTACAGTGTAAATAAATGGAAGGCAGAAATGAAGAATATCTTTAGATATCTTCACCATCTAACTTAACTGGACATCTTTATCTTTAGCTCCTTTGAATAACTAATTTTAAACCTAGATTTAGTATTCCTAATTTTAAAATCTTTTTTTTTTCCCCTCTTTTTGGTAATAGGGATTGAAACCAGGTCCTTGCCCATACTAAGTGTGTAATCTACCACTGAGCTATATCCCAGTCCTGAATGCTATAATTTTTTTTTTTTTGGCCTGCTACCCCTTGAAAATGCTATGATTTCATCATGCAGATTTACATGGTACAGAAATCAAAATATCAGAGATGGATTCTTGGCCATGCAAAGAAACATGTGAAAGCCAATAAGAATGATCAGAGCCTGGGTACAGTGGCAAATGCCTATAAACCCAATGACTCAGAAGGCCAAGGCAGAAGGATCACAAGTTTGAGGCAGCCTGGGGATGCAGTTCAGTAATAGAGCACCCTTGGTTGCAAAAAAAGAAAGTAAACACTGGAATCATTTATACAGGAAAGAAACTAATTCATCTTGGTGATTTGGTTTATGTAACACAGAGATCATTAAATAACTACAAAAACAAACTGACAAACCTCTCTTTCCAGATAGCACTTCTTTGCCGCTGGTTCTGTTTCATCACCTCCTTGTGAGACTCCAATATTCTGAAACTCTTCGAGTTCCAGGGCTTTTTGTTTGGCACATTCTATTACATGCCTAGGGAAATTAGCAAGCTCTGCAACGTGAATCCCAAAACTCTGATCACAAGCACCTAAAAGAAATTGGGAGGGAAAGAGTGCGTGAGGGAAGACGGTGAAAGACAGCAATTTATGTAAATGAATTTATCCTTCTTACCTTGTCATCAGGAAACTTAATTTTGGATTCTTTCAAATACATTAGCCAAATGTTTCAGAGTAACTTAGATAAAAGGATTTTAATCAAGCTTCAAGTGAGAAGTGATTATGACTTGGCACTTAGTGCTGTATTTTATCCTTGACAAATGTAGCATGAAAAATAAAAATAGCAGAGGAAAAGCTTGATAGATGAATCCTCAGAGGCCTACTATCTAAAGCTGAGAGGGAGAGAAACAAACAAAAACCTACCATCTCTGTGGTTTTCCCATTTTATGAGGAAAAAAGTACTAAGGAGAAAAGGGTTACATATACAAGTGTCACTAGTTAAGAACAGAATTAAATTCAAGACATACTGACTCATTACTAGTGAATGGTCCTATTATTTTCCCGGGATAAGTCACTCAAGAAAATCAGTAAGATGAGTGTATTGAAGAATTTATAGTATTTTTTCTTAGAAAAGTTGTTCACCATTCTTCTACACTCTCTTTTTGGGAGGATGGTGGGCACCAGAGGTTGAACTCAGGGGCACTCAACCACTGAGCCACATCTCCAGCCCTATTTTATTTAGAGACAGGTTCTCACTGAGTTAATAAGCACCTCGATGAATTGCTGAGGCTGGCTTTGAACTCACAATCTTCCTGCCTCAGCCTCTGGAGCTGTTGCCCAGCATACACTCTCATCCTGATTCTGAATCAGTGAAAACAAATGATAATGGAATTTTTGACCCAAGTAGGTAGCTTATATTCATTCCCATTTATATAAAATAAGGTGAATTAAGACAGTCTTTCCAAACATTTAATATGAATGGCGACTACAAAGTTATTACAGACTTTCTATTTTTGCCGCAATTATATATCAACTGTTAAAAAAAAAAAAAAATTAGCTGGGCGTGGTGGCGCACGCCTGAAATCCAGCAGCTTGGGAGGCAGGAGGATCGCAAGTTAAAAGCCAGCCTCAGCAAAAGAAAGGCCCTCAGCAACTCAGTGAGACCCTGTCTCTAAATAAAATACATTGGAGATGCGGCTCAGTGGTCGAGTGCTCTGAGTTCAATCTCTGATACCTGCTCCCCCAATCAAGTAATTAATTATTTTATTAACAATAAAATAACCTAGAGCCTTGGAACTTCAAAGCATATCGTTATTAGCTAGAGCTAATCTGACAAGGAATACTGCTACAGAGGTGGGTAAATCCCTCTGTGGCGATGTTTGAGACTATAGATTATTCTATGTTTGGAATAAGAGGTCCTATCTCAAGATACAGAAATATAGATAATATACAATGTTCCTGGCTCCTGAGACTGGAAAGTTACAACTAAATGTGCTTTACAAAAATCTCAATGATTGATACTAAGAAGGAATAAGGCAATTTATTGATTATTTTAAATTCAATAAGTTTTCCACTGTCACATTCTGAATTTAAGGTACATCAATGGTACATACTTACCTTTCTTCACCTGATAAAGCATAGTTAAGGTCTCTTCAGTGGTTAATGCTGTGACATGTAGGTTATTAACAGTGGGAATCTGTTTGGCTAAGGCAGTAAGTTCATGAAAATGAGTTGCAAACATGCAAAAAGCACCAATCTTTGTTGCAATGTAATCGGATATAGCCCACGCTAGTCCAAATCCATCATAGGTAGAGGTTCCTCTTCCCAATTCATCTATGATTATTAAAGAATCTTTGGTTGCAGACCTGAAACACATAATTACATGAAAATTTGCCATGGCACAGTATTTAGTAATACAAAACAAAAACCAAAATTAAGATAATACATTGGGAAAGATATATAGCACAAACATAATAGATTAATCACTCTAAGATTTTATGTGTGTGGTACTAGGGACTGAATCTGGGAGCACTCTACCACTGAGTGGTAAATCCCGGAGCCCCTCCCCTTTTTGAGACAGAATCAAAAATGCTGAGGCCAGCCTCAGAAGTCACCATTCTCCTAAACTACTGAGATTACAGGTACGCATCACATACCCAGCTAAATCACTTTTTTTTTGTTTTAAAGTACAGGGCAATGAACTCAGGGGTACGCAACCACTGAGCACATTCCCAGTCCTGTTTTGTATTTTATTTAGAGACAGGGTCTGAGTTGCTTAGTACCTTTCTGTTGCTGAGGCTGACTTTGAATTTGGAATCCTCCTGTTTTAGCAAGCTGCTGGGATTCCAGGCATGTGCCACCAAGCCCAGCAAATCACCCCCAAATTTTTAAAAAATAAAATAAAATTGAATAAAGATGGGAGCAGCGTTTGATGACATGAACACTCACATACCCTGATGGTGGTTGTGTAAATTGTGTGTCTGCCAAAGCCTCATCAATCCCAGTTATTACTATTCTTATCTTTAAACAAGTATGAGGATTTTTTAAAAAATTAGTGAATTTGCCAGCCTTTCAGTGATCCTTGGTTATTTCTTTTTTTCTGTAAATTACCAGATTATCTTTCAAATTATGAATATTAATCTAACTACTATGCCAAACATTTGTATTGCTTTTATTATTCCTCACGAACAACAGATCCTTCTAGAAACTATATTAACACATAATTTACTAGAAACCTAATGTATTGAAAGTACTTTAGGAGATACCAAGAAACAGAAAGTAAAGTCCCTGATTTCAAGGAAACTTCTAGAAAGTAAAATAAAGACAAAGAATTTCAGTAACCTATAAAATAAACAATGAACTACACTCATATCAAACAGCAGTAGCTGAAAAGAAACACCTATGATCTTAGTTTTTTATGTAAAGAAAATTCATCAGAATTTTCATCATTAGGGCCTTAAAGACTGGAAAGGACTTGGATAAAGGGCAAGAAGGAGTATTCCAAGTAGTATAAACAGTCGAAGCAAAAGCATCACAGGGAGGCAGACTTATAAGGAGGGGCTACTACCAGAAACTGTAGGGAAACAACTTCAAAATTAATCAAAGCTTTGCCAGACAGGATGGTACATGTCAGTAATCTCATCTTCTTGGGAGGCTGAGGCAGGAGGATCATAGGTTTGAGTACAGTCTCAGCAACTTAGCAAGGAATCAGTCTCAAAACTTAAAAAAAAAAAAAAAAAAATCACCAATCATACCTTCCCCACTTTTTTGGGACAGGGTCTCATATGTTGCCTAAGCTGGTCTCAAAACTTCCTGGGGTCAAGTGATCCTACCGCCCTGGCCTCCCTAGTAGGTGGGAGTAGAGGGACAAGTTACAGCACCCAGCTTCAAACACCCTTTTAAGAAAATACAAAGTGCACAAAGTTTGTAGGAACACAACCATTAGACTCTGATAATGTTTTCAGATATTTTATGGATAAATCTTTTAATGTACTTCTTATGAGATGTACATTCATTTCCACTTCAGGGCACTAGAACAAGCAATTACCTGAGGATAGAAGCAGTTTCCAGCATTTCAGCCATGAATGTGGAGACTCCTTTTAACTGACTGTCACCAGCCCCCACCCGAGCCAAGATGCAGTCCACAATGGATACTTCTGCTGATTCACACGGTACAAAACATCCAATTTGGGCCATGAGTACTATCACCCCAGTTTGGCGAATATATGTTGATTTACCTCCCATATTGGGACCTATAAAGCAAATTATATCAAAAAGCATTATTAACTTCTTTCTGCTAATAAGTGGACTGCTAGTCCTAAGCTGTATACTGATGATTATTCATCTAAGCCACATGGCAAATTAGAAGAACCATAAGCCACTCAAAGACGTGGACCAAGTCACTGCCCATCCTACCCCTTAAGGCAATGCTATTATTTCTTCAGAAAAACCAGCACTGGGTCCTTCATCAGGAGGAGTATGAAAAATATCTCAACTATAATTTGACTATGGTCTAGAAAGATCATACACATATCTCCCTGCAGCTCACAGAGATGCCTGTACCTTATTTACTTATAAAGTAGTCAAAGTCTAACTGAATGGATCAGCATTGGTCAAATTCTTCAAATCACTTAAATTTCATCTTAAAGCTCTAAGATACAACTCCTCTTTTGGCAACCATCAAATTATTTGCTAGGATTAGATTAAGTACATAACTTAAAAACATATTTGAAGAAATAAAATACAATCCTGTTTCCCAAATATATCTGTCCTAAGACTCCTACTTCCTTCCCTCTTTTGATCTCTCGAGTCTTGTTATGATCTCTCAAAACACCTCAGCTTAGATATGTTACATTGGTCTATATGCAAGGCTATGCTGTGTTTAATATGAATATAGTGCCATGTCTTAAAAGAAACTGCTACCTAAGCTGAGGTTCTTCTAGCCATCAAATTTTGCCTCTCCTTCAACGACCTCAACTTCTGAAAGTAACTGACTCAAATACAAGCTTTGAGGGGGATGCTGGTTTTTAAATGCTGTGAACCACTGAATCAGAATACAATATTTTCACATAAGCCTTAATCTCCCCTCCAAATCTTCCCTTTAATCCAAATGTGAATATTTTACTAACCAGAATGAACATGTTCGTTTTCTAATGTCAAGGGTTGGATTTTCTTCGTAAATTTAAAACATTTGTATTCTAACATAAAAGAAAAATGTTACCCGCCCCAAAGTTTTTTTTTTTTTTAAATACCAGTAATGATGTGGAACATCTGTTTATCTTTTTCAAAGTGTACATCATTAGGAATAAATGCAACTTCATCTTGAATTTCAACACAAGCATGTCTGGATGCTTTCAATATAATTCTTCCTTGTCCTTTCTCCAAAATGACTGGTCGTACATATGGAACAGGTGCTCCATTTGACACATGAGCAAAGCTGACAACAGCATCTAGCTGAGCTAACACATCATTTAGTGTCTGCATTGGCTCTACATAGCCTGTATAAAATTAAAAACAGAAAATGTACAAAGGAATATCAAATAATTTTTAAAAAGATATAAGCTATAAGAATAAATTTAACTCCCACATATGGGAGTTTTAAAACCCATTTCCCTAACATACTTTTTCCTTTTTAAATTTGTTATTTTTAGATATATATGACAGTAGACTATATTATGACATATTATACATACATGAAGTAAAACTTAATTAGGTCCCATTCTTGTGGCTGAACATGATGCGGAGTTTCACAGGTGGTGTATTCATATACAAACATAGGAAACTCATGTGTGATTCATTCATCTTTCCTAACACCATCCTCCTTCCTTCCCTTCATTCCCCTTTGTCTAATCCAATGAACTTCTATTCCCCGCTCCCTTATTGGGTGTTAGTATCCGCACATCAGAAATATGGTTCTTGGGATTGGTTTATTTCATTTAGCACAAGAGTCTCCAGATCCATCCAAAGTCAGAAAGTCCTTTTCTTTTCTTAAATATGTTTTAGTTGTTGTTAGGACTTTAATTTATTTATTTGCAGTGTTGAGAATTGAACCCAGTGCCTCACACATGCTAGGTTAAGTGCTCTGCCACTGAGCCGAGCCTCCTAACATACTTTTTAAACAAAATTTTACTAGACACTGTTCCACCAAAAAACAACCCGAACACAAAAAAGGTTGAGGTCATGGCTCAAGGGTCAAAGGTCATAGCTCTTGTCTAGCATCTGCAAGGCCCTAGGTTCAATGTCCAGTGCTGTTTCAAAAGAATGTGATGCTTTTACTTACCAAAATCCAACAAAATATCATACCCTCAATTTTAAAACATACTTTTTCCTGAATTTTAAGAATCTGAAAACAGGATGACACCTCACAACCATCACAAGAAATATGCATGCACTCAGTAGCAAGCTATAAGGAGACTATTAAGACTTATGCATTTACAAACCAACGACTGTAAGATTGTTAGCTGAGTTTTTATATTTTTCAATCAGTACCACATGCAGAGAATTTTAGCATAAATTTAGATCCATAATTGCCACTTAAAACACAAGATTCTATTCACTAGAGCATTCAAAAGCCCCCGACACAGGCTAGACAACATGTGAAGACAGTAACAATGGTCCAAATTTTCAGAATAGATTCTAAATGTCAACAGTTTGGAGGGGTGGTATAACAACAGTATGACAGACTCACATGTCACACTATTTCACTAGTCATTCAAGTGTAAAGTATTTAATTTTAGAAAAACCCCAAATTATAAATTTAATCAAAAGGCAGGACTTATTTTTAATTGTTTCCATAAAAGTGATAAAATGTTTTGACAATAAAAGTTTACTTATTGGAGCGGGATTGTGGCTCAGTCGTAGAGCACTTGCCTAATATATGTGAGGCACTGGGTTTGATTCTCATCACCACATACAAATAAATAAATAAAATTTAAAAATATTTTAAAAATTCATTTACTTATGAATGGGTTGAGTACAAATAATTCTGTTCTGTTTTATCATACTTTGGTGCACACCTGTAATATTAGCAAATTGGGAGGCTGAGGCAGAAGGATAGGAAGTTCAAGGATAGCTTCAGCAAATTAGCAAAGCCTTAAAGCAACTTAGTGAGAGCCTGTCTCAAAATAAATAAAAAGGGGTAGGAATGTTGAGCTCATCTCTAAAATGACCCAGTTTTTTAAAAAATTTTTATTATATTTTTCTCTAGCAGATCTTTTCTTTAGAAACCTCTAGGAAAGAGTGGAGTATTTACAATGATTATTTATTTTTAGCAGTGCAGGGGATCAAACCCATGGCCTTGTATATGCTAGGTAAGCACCCTACCACTGAGCTACAACACCAGCCCCTATAATTATTTTCAAATTCATAAGATTTCTTACATACTGAGAATAATTTTACATATATATTTTTAGAAAGCATCTTAACAAAAAGTATATAGTCTTTAGCACGACAAAATGTGGCTTGGGGCTGGGGATGTGGCTCAAGAGGTAGTGCGCTCGCCTGGCATGCATGCGGCCCGGGTTCAATCCTCAGCACCACATACAAACAAAGATGTTGTGTCTGCCGAAAACTAAAAAATAAATATTAAAAAAGGTTCTGTTTCAATTCAGGTTAACTCCATATACAGAACCTTCCATTTAAATGTTAAAACCTAGACCCTTTCACTAGCTAAGTGGTGAATGTTCTTTTTTTTTTTTAAAGATTCACAGTATTTACATGGGTTCTTAAAAATGCAAACAAAGTTTGGGAACACAATTCAGCTAAATTATTGTGCTACAGTTATCTGATATCACCAAGAGAAATGCAAATTTTACAAATCAATTCAATTCATCTCAATACCAATACATAAAGCATATTAAAATAAAATCTTTTAAGTTTTACATTTCCTTCTCCCTCACTATGTTGTAACAATAAAACAATCTACAACTAGTACTAGGAATTGAATTCTGTCTCACACATGCTAGCCATACCCTCTGCCCTTGGTGCTTTTTATTTCAGAAGAGTCTCTCCAAGTTGTCTAGGCTGGCCACAAACTTGGTATCTGCATGCCTTAGTCTCCCAAGTAGCTGGGATAAAGACAAGTGTCACTGAACCCAATTTATAAAATTATACCTCCAAACAATTAAAAAAAAAAAGATTCTTTACCCTCAAATAATTCAGCATACATATTCTGAGAACAAGGACATCCTCCTACTTAATCATAATGCCATTAACATATCCAAGAAATTGAATATTGATAGAAGATGGTCTCATATTAAACTTTCCCAATTGTCCCAAAAGTGTCCTCAACTCTAACCTAATCTAGTAAATGACTATAGACCCCACTGCATTTGGTTGTCCTGTCTTTTTATATCTCCTTTTTTTGGGGGGGGGGTACCAGGGAGTGAACCCAGGGGCACTTAACTATTTAGCCACATCATCCGCCCTTTTTAAATCGATTAGGGCTTTGCTAAATTGCTGAGCTGGATTTGAACTCACAATCTTCCATCCTCAGCCTCCTGACCCACTGGGATTACAGTCATGTGCCACCTTGCCCAGAAATATCTCCTTTAATGTAGAACAGATATGTCCGTTCCTCTTTTTACTTCATGATCATGACATTTTTAAAGAGTTTAGACCTAAAAAAGAAAGTCCCACAATTTTTCTCCTTAATTATAGCTGAATTAAATATTTTTTTGTTAAGAATACTACATACATGGCCATGTAATCTCATATACATGGGATTACATGTTTGTAATCCCAGCTATTCTGGAGGCTGAGGCAGGCGGATCTGGAGTTTTGAAGTTAGCCTTACAATTTAGCAAGATCCTGTCTCAAAGAGGCCCAGGGATGTAGCTCAGTGGTGGGGTACCTGCATAGTGTGTACAAGGCCCTGGGTTTGATCCCAAGCATTTGGGGCGCTGGGTGGTGGTGGTGGGGAAATACTAGGTGACTGTATATCCTCTCTGTACCATATCAGGAAGCACTTAATGTCATTTGTCCCATGACTGGTGATGCTAACTTTGATCACTCGGTTGCTTGCACATTTCTGAAAGGTACAATAAAGGTCAATATACACACAGTGGTGGTCAAACCTTTCAGTGGAATACACTGTCACCTGTAACATAGGTTGAATTCTGTTCTAAAGGCAACAACATAATGCCAAGTTGTGCTATCGCTTTAATTAAAAAAATCATTTCAAACAGTGGATCCAGAGTGGACCAGATTCTGAACATCTACAAAATGGCACACAGAACTCAAAATGTCTTGCTTCATTTCTAATTTATATTTCTACAACCTAATCTGTTGAACCCATAGATAGTGGGTTAAAACAATTTTTGTAAAACAAAACATTCTTCAAACATCCTGATTCTTTTTTATTAGCAAAACCCAGGTCACATTCAGAACAGTTAATATAATGGTTCTCTTAAATTTACCTGAAGAAATATTGACAATTTCTTTGACAATGGCATCCTGGGCCTCTTCGTATTCAGCTTTATTTTTAGTATATTCTTCATTTAAAGAAGACAACTTACTGCAAATCAAGATAATGGCATCATTAAAAACATCAAAATATTTACTAGATGTACATTACCTAAAACATATCCAGAGTATCTGTCTTATGAAACATCAAAACTGATCATTAAAATGGAAATACAAGTAGAAAGTGGGACAACCTATAAGGTGCAGATGTGGCTAGAACTGTTTATTTATATTCCTCTCCAATGTTTAGAATAACACATTGGCACAGCATTGGCTATAAAGATTTTTCACTCGATTAAAATTCTGACCTATGACCTTTTATAAATACTTAAATGAATCCTTACTTAAGAAGAGGGCCATTCCCATTTTAACACACAAATATGTTTCTTCTCATTTTGACTGTATATAACTATCTTTTGCTACCAAAGTTCTACAAATGAGGAAAATGCTTTGAAAACTATATCTTATTAATTGAAAAATGTGAATATAAAACTAGAAATTAAAATAACAAAAAATGAAGATGAAAAAGAGGAAAAATATTCACTGGCATCAAAGAAAGGGAATGAAATTACCAAAAGAAGGGACCTAGAAGAGAGAGGGAAGTAAGCATCTGAAGTGGAAGGGTTAGGGCAGCGACTGTGTACTTGGTCAATAGCACAGCACAGTATAGCTCAAGAATGAGCAAGTAGGAAAACACACACACACACACACACACTCTCTCTCTCTCTCTCTCTCTCTCTGAAAGGGTAAATGGAAATAATTAAAGGAAGAAAAGCAAGAGGCAAACACATTGTAAAAACAGAACCACTGAGTGAAGAAGTGAACTGAAAGAAAAGCTGAAGTAGGCAGAGACCAGATTACATAGCCCATATGAAGACTTTTAGATTTTATTCTGAATAATCAATAGGCACTGGAGGGATTTTTGTTTGTTTTCGTTTTAGGTGGACACAATATCTTTATTTTATTTTTTTATGTGGTGCTGAGGATCAAACCCAGTGCCTCACGCATGCCAGGTGAGCGCACTACCACTTGACCACATCCCCAGGCCTGGCACTGGAGGTTTTAAGGAGAAAAATGATATGATCACAGAGTCACACAAAGGAAGCATTCAACTGCTCACTCCTTACAAGTGAAAAATTTTTCTGCAACTTTTGGTACCATGAGGTCATCCAGTTTAATTTCTTTTATGTAACCAACCCATGTTGATCTAAAGATGATTATAACACCAAAAGTCCTTCCTTCCTCCCTTCTTTCCTTCCTTCCTTTCGGTACCAGGGATTGAACTCAGGGGCACCCAACCACTGAGCCATATCCCCTAGCCCTATTTTGTATTTTATTTACAGACAGGGTCTCACTGAGCTGCTTAGCACCTCACTAAAGTGCTGAGGCTGTCTTTGAACTCGTGATCCTCCTGTCTCGCCTCCCGAGCCGCTGGGATTACAGGTGTGCACCATCAGGCTCGGCTAAAAGTTCAGTCTTATGTAAGCTAAAATATATATATTTCTTAAAACAGGAGGAATACAGTGTGTTGGGAAAACAACAGAACTAGACTTGACAACAGAAGACCTGAGTTTCATATCCATTAATATTAGCCGTCTAACTTGGGGGAACTGAAATCTATGAAAGTAATATTCATGTTCCATTTACTTCAGAAAGGTGTTATAAAAAACAAACTTGATAGATTGGGGGTTACCAGGGATTGAACCCAGGGTCACTTGGCCACTGAGCCACATCCCCAGCCCTATTTTGTATTACTAAGAAACAGGGTCTCACTGAGTTATTTAGCACCTCGATTTTGGTGAGGCTGGCTTTGAACTTGTGTTCCTTCTATCTCAGCCTCCTGAACTGCTGGGACTACAGTGTGTCACCAAGCCCACCTAGAAGATTTCTTAATATTCTTCTATGAATGATTTGCATCAGGAATTTTCTAAAATTAGCAAGTGAAAAGGCAACAGAAACTGGTAAGGAATTTTTTTCAACACAGAACATAATAAAAAAGCTGTAATTTAGTGAATGGCCTCGTGAAGGCTCTCCTAAACTAATTTATACATTCAGTTGAAATACCGAAAATTTTTAATTTGATAAATGATAGTAAAGTTTTCTTAGGAAAAAAATAACAAAATAACTAAAGCAGAGGCATTAGGAGGAACTAGCTCTAATGGATATGAAAACATAATATAAATAAGGATTCAAACTATAGAGTATGACAAAAGAATGGTGAGACAGTTAAGAGAAAAAAAATAGCCTTAAATAGGCTCAAATTTCCACTTCAGTCAAGGAGGGAGAGGATTACTTTACAAATGGTGTTGGGACATTTGACTAGCCTCTTGGAAGAAAGTAAAACTTGACTCTTACCTAATGCTTTATACCAATGAATAATAACTAAGGTAAAATCTTCCGATTACAGATAATTCACATTTCACTAGAGAATCCATGCAAGTATTGAAGGCTTAAAAATATAATATAGGGGCTGGGGATGTGGCTCAAGTGGTAGCGCGCTTGCCTGGCATGCGTGCGGCCCGGGTTCGATCCTCAGCACCACATACAAACAAAGATGTTGTGTCCACCGAAAAATAAATAAATATAAAAAAAAAAAAAAAAAAAAAAAAAAAAAAATATATATAATATAGATGTGCAAACCTGTTAGTAAATTTAACACCATTCTTCTGGATATCTACTGTACTAAAGTTTTTATTATTACGAAGGACCTTTTCTTCCTTACAGGTTACACGAAAGTAGTATCCAAACTGTGCACTGGAATCCAATTTAATCTGTTTGCCAGGGTCCAATCCTTTAAGATAAAAAAAAAAAAAAGAATAGTATGTCATAAATACCTGCAGCCACTTATCAGTGTAAATGTTTAAAATCATTAAATCTAATTAGTAAAATATACACTTTTATTATGTGATAGCATTCTGGAAATTATTAGTATTAGCATCCTGGAAAAGATAAAAATTTCACTTCACTCAAGAAACTACACGAAATAAGGATACCTAGCTGGGCATGGTGGTGTATGCCTTTTAATCCCAGTGGCTTAGAAGGCTGAGGCAGGAGGATTGCCAAATTCAAAGCCAGTCTAAGCCAGGTATGGTGGCTCACGCCTGTAATCCTAGCAGCTCAGGAGGCTGAGACAGGAAGATCACAAGTTCAAAGCCAGCCTCAGCAATGGCAAGACACTAAGCAACTCAGTGAGACCCTGTCTCTTAATAAGAAACACAAAATAGGGTTTGGGATGTGGCTCAGTGGTTGAGTGCCCAAGTTCAATCCTGGTACCGCCCCCCAAAAAAAGGCCAGTCTAAGCAACTTTGCAAGATTCTGTCTCAAGATAAAAAATAAAAAGGGCTGGGGATGTGGTCCAGTGATTAAGTGACCCTGGGTTCAATTCCCATTACCAAAAGAAAGAAAAAAAAAAAAAAAGAATATCTATAAAAATCCTTAAAGTCCCTCATAAGTGCTGGCTTCTGATGGAAGTTGTTTGCAGGGTAAATCCTCAAAGGGTGCAGACCATCAGCATGAGGTAGCATACACTGTACCCGACGTTTTGGACATATGAAGATGCGTAAGGACTGGCCCACCCAGGACAAATTATACATGAATCCTTTTCTTAACCAAATCATTTCTTTAAAGTTAATTAGAGTATAATTAAAGTGATCAGATACTGCCATAAGCAACAGTACATGCCTGTAATCCTAGTTACCTGGGAAGTGAGCAGGAGGATAGCAAGTCTGAGTCTAGCCTGGTCAACTTAGTAAGATCCTGTCTCAAAATAAAGAATAAAAGTGGGTAGTGTGGGGGGGGACTAGGGATAGAGCTCAGCAGTAGAGTGTTGGCCTAGCATGTACAAGGCCCAGGATTAAATTCTCAGTATTACCGAAAAATAAAATTAAATAAGGTGCCCAAAGGCAATTTCCAAACAAATCTAGGACTCTGACAACAAAACTCCAGGAATACTGAAATTTATATATTTTGTTAAATATAGAAAACTTCACAGAGCAAGTAATGTGCTTAATCAGATTTTATGAACCTAGGTTTTAATTTTTGTAATTAAATACCCTCTCTTCATAATTTCATTCAACTTTAGACTTCAAACTAGAAGAGAAAAATAGTATCTACAAATGTATTTATTGAAAAACAGTAATTAAATGTTACAGGGGCAAACAACTAAGAGCAGACTTCACTTGACCAGGGAGAAAAAAGATAGTAGAGACCTATGCCAAAATAAAATCTGCTTTGAATAAAGAATGTCTCAAAATGTTCAAAGGGAAGTGGTTGTTCCAGTGAAAAGTGTAGTCATTCAGTGATCAAAGTCTCAAACCAAAGGACCACAAGAAGATGTGATACTATTTGCTGCTCACGTATATATTTCAGTGTAGTGCTAGTAGCATATCCCTAAATATGAAAGACAATGGTATTTATGGAATAAATGCTATATTGACTTAACACTTGCATATTTGTAACACTACAAAGATCACAACTTTATTTAATGGCTTACAACCTCAAAGTGTAGAGGTATTTCTGATGGCATGTATGTTTAAAAACCCAAAGCACTAAATCTGACCTGTTAATTTTATAGGGGGGGGGGGGGGGCAAAAAAGTTGAAGACCAGAAAAATTAAATAACTTGGTAAAAAGCTCCCCAAAGAAAAGTTTTCAAATAATAAAAAAAAGTATTCAAATCAAAACATGAATTTATGTTTTCCATTTCCATTTCCCAGCTCCTTAACCTACATTTGCAGTGTTTCCTTTTCCTTTCCTTTTGGTACCAGGGACTGAACCCAGGGGCACTTAACCCCTCAGATATATATATCAATCAGAAAAATGTCCAACCAACCAAATTAACATACTGTGAAACACAGAAAGTCACGGGTATTTTATCCTTCTAGTAAGTCAATATAATAATGTCAACTCTAATTACTTAAGAGTATCAATATCCTTACCTTTGAAATGAATAAAGTAGACCTCAATAACTTTAAGTTAAAGGCTCTTATTTTGGGATCTAATTCATATATGACTCTTCATGAAAACTATGTGCAAATTTTTCTGTGTCTATAATCTGTATCTGGGAAAAGGATCAGTAAATTTCATCAGGTTCTCCATAAAGTTTAAGTATTAAACTATGTCCTGAGAGGTTTTCTCATTCTAAGTCTGGGATTCATTTAGTTATTCAACAAACATGCACAAGATGCTCAGCACAAAGAGATTTTAATATCCAGAGTAAAGCAGAGTGAACCCTTGGGAATTAACAGTCTAATGTGGAAGATAGACATTGATTTTATTTATTCTTATTTTTCATATTTTTTGTAGTACTGGGGATTAAACCTAGGAGTAGTCTACTGAGATGTTTACATCCTTAACTCTCTTTATTTTGAGAAAGGGTCTTGCTAAATCGCCCAGGCTAGCATTGAACTTATGCTCCTCCTGCTTTATTTAGTCTCCAAGCAGGTGGAATTAAGGCCACCGTGCTCAGTGTGCTTTAAAAAAAAAAAAGAAAAGAAAGAAAGAATTAATAAAGTGCTTGTAAATTTCAAGCCAAATCAATAAGCTATTATTCCTAGGAGAATAAGGCTAATGGTGGAACTGACATTTAAAAATAAGGGCCTTGGGCTGGAGATGTGGTTCAAGCAGTAGGGCCCTTGCCTGGCATGCGCGGGGCACTGGGTTTGATCCTCAGCACCACATAAAAATAAAGATATTGTGTCCACTGAAAACTAAAAATAAATATTAAAAACTCTCTCTCTCTTAAATAAATAAATAAATAATAAAAAATAAGGGCCTTGGGGCTGGGATTGTAGCTCAGTGGTTAGAGTGCTTGCCTAGCACACGTGAGGCACTGGGTTCAATCCTCAGCACCACATAAAAATGAAATAAAGATATTGTATTCACCTCCAACTAAAAAATAAATATTAAAAATAAAAAAATAAAATAAAAATAAGGGCCTTTTGGCAGGAATGTGGGGTAATACTGGGGGAAGTAAGTAAGATACTTCTGGCACCACTGTGTACACTGTGTAGACAAAACAATCATTCAAGCCAGGTGCAGTGTTGACTCCAGACACTGAGGCTGGAGGATCACAAGTTTAAGGCAAGCCTCAGCAACTTAGCGAAGACTCTGTCTTAAAATAAAAAATAAACAGGACTGGGGATGTAGCTCAGTGGTAAAATGCTCCCAGGTTCAATCCCCAGTACAAAAAAATTTTTTTTTGAACTTCCATTCTTACCAAGATCTCGGGCTGCACTTATTAATGTGGACTGCATCTTCTTTTCCAAGTCATCCATTACTTCTCTTAATTCACTCAGATTAGGATCAAATGAAGGTTTTACAAGGAATTCATGGTTTTCCACCTAAAAATAAAGAGTAGCTACATTATATAAATAATGGGTAGAGACAGAAATCATAAAGCATATATTTTCTTCTATTTAAAAATTCAGCTAATGTTTTCAGTTGAATGGTTCTCTATCTAAAAGTTGCTGAGTCACAATTATTAAGAAGTACTTATTAAGAGATGTAAAGTTCTATTATTAGAAGCTTAGGGTTCTAGATATATGAAAATGAATCACATGAAGTAAATACAGAAATAATGATCCAAATAACCCCATCAGTAGTCTTCACTTTTTCTTAAATCTTCCCTAAACATTACTAAACAATGCTCAGTGTTCAAAACCTATAATAAAAAGTGTGGCTTTACTCAAATCAAAAATCCATCCTAGGAATCTCAAAAAGTTAACATATTTTTTTTTTTTTAATATTTTGTGTGTGTGTGTGTGTGTTGCTGGGGATTGAATCCAGGGCCTTGTGCATGCAAGGAAAGCACTATATCAACTGAGCTATAGCCTCGGCCCCTCTAAACATACTCCTAAAGTACTTTGTTTTACTAAATTCTTACCAGTGTTAACAAGAAACCAAAATGAAAAGTAGATCTTACTTAAAATAGCAAAAACATACATAAAATATTTAGAATAAATTCTTGATAATACAGAACTTTTATTAAGACAATCTACTAAAAATTTTAAAAGAACTGGTAAGTGAAGAGACAAACTCTGAGAAAACTAAATCAAATCGTAATAGCTCTTCATACCTAGTGATTGTTCATTAGGAATCTGTTTTTGAAACAAAACAAAATGACTAAAATTCTAATGAAATACTTGGCATTAGAAACTATTGAACAGATAATTATATATAAAAGTTCAAGAGAGTGAGTCAGTTTTCTAAAACAAAATGACAAAAACATCTTTAATAAATGAGGTTGAAATAAACTGATTCTGTTCTCCACTTAATCAGAACACATCTTCAAACACCCAAAATGAACTACACATAAACAAGGAATTAAAATCAAATTACAGAAAGCTAGTAAAAAAGGAAATAAAATATTTAAACCATCAAAATGAAAGACTAAGTAAAATGTTAAAATTTTGCCAAGAATGGTAGTGAATGCCTATAATCCCAGCAATTCAGGAGTTTAGGGCAGGAAGATCCCAAGTTCTAAGCCAGTCAGGACTATTTACTGAGAAAGCTCAGTGGTTCCCTTCCTTCCTCCCTTCCCTCTTTGAACCCAGGGGGGTGGAAGACTAAACCACCGTGTACATGAGTGATCCTTCACATGACTCCTAAGTGCACAGCTGGAAAACAATGACGCTTTCAGAAATTGTACATGAAACAATTGATATTCCCTGGAGATCTCCTCAAAATGGTTCTGAATCATGTAATTTAAATGCCTAAATTCATCTCAAGTACCTATGATGACAGTGAAGGGTTGAATTCACCTTATAACCTCAAACAAGTTTAAAAGTTTATAACTGAGAATAAAGAAGATACTATACTAGGTCAACTCCCTAGAGAATCTAGAGCAGGTTTTAGCTAGAAATCTGATTTACTTAAATGACAGTAATGCATTACTATAAACCATGAAAGTCTACAGTTTATAGGACAATGTTCTGGGTGGATACTACTGATGGTCTACATAACAGTTGTTTCCCCCTGGAGGGAAACTGACTTCACAGCCCAATTTGGTTACGGGTCAATCATCACACTCTATTTTCCAGGCCATGATTGCTGTTTAAATGGTTCTATCATGGCAAGATTCTTGCTTGGAACGTTGCCCCAAACTTCTGGCAGTTGAAATTAAAATCCCAAAAGATAGACAAGATTAAGAAATCATATCTCCTGAATGGCATCACTAAATGGCTGGATCCAAGCAATCCAAAACAAGACAAGCCATTTAGTAACTCTTAAGTACATGATTCAGAACAGACTGAGTTTTGGGTTCTAAAAAATAAAGTCCTAACTATAAAAAGTTTAATCTCAGATAGTTAATCTATTATTTTTTGGGGGGAGGACCCACAACTTACATCTTATTGTCATAATGTTAAGGCTGAAGGCATCTAGAACATATCATGATGGCACAAAATTTGTTTTGCAATTATCTAAGAATACCACCATTCCCCCAATTCCCAGATCGGCTTAAGAGTCTACTGAAAAAACTAACTTGTCAGAAATCATCTCCAATGACCACAGAAAACTGGCTCTCCTCATCAGGAAAGAAGTAACCACCACACTTAAACAGACACTGCCTCAAAACTATTCTCTCTCTTGCATTCTCTTAAGGGTTATTTGCCTTTCCTAAGTCATTTTTGCCCTTTCTCCCTCTCCATTTTCCCTATTGACAGTATATAAGCCCCAAATTCCAAAAGCCATTTCTCTTGCTAATTATCTTTTGTCAATTTAATTTGCACCCAATCACTAAAACTGAAAAAAGAAAACCTTTACTTTCCTGACACCATTAAATACTAATGTCCTACTTTCAGATTAAGAAACTGAGGTTTACACCTATAGCACAAGAGTTAAAATCAAGAATCAACAAATGGGACATACTCAAACTAAAAAGTTTTTTCCCAGCAAGAGAAACAGTAAGATAGGTAAATAGGGAGCCTACATCCTAGGAACAAATATTTACCCCTCACACTTCAGATACAGCTCTAATCTCCAGAGTATACAAAGAACTCAAAAAATTAAACAAGAAAACAAATAACCCAATCAACAAATGGGCCAAGGATCTGAACAGACGCTTTTCAGAGGAGGATATACAATCAATCGATAAATACACGAAAAAATGTTCACCATCTCTAGCAATCAGAGAAATGCAAATCAAAACCACCCTAAGATACCATCTCACTCCAGTAAGAATGGCAGCCATTATGAAGTCAAACAATAACAAGTGCTGGCGACAATGTGGGGAAAAGGGTACACTTGTACATTGCTGGTGGGACTGCAAATTGGTTCAGCCAATTTGGAAAGCAGTATGGAGATTCCTTGGAAAGCTGGGAATGGAACCACCATTTGACCCAGCTATTCCCCTTCTCAGACTATACCCAAAAGACCTAAAAAGAGCATACAACAGGGACACAGCTACATCAATGTTCATAGCAGCACAATTCACAATAGCTAGACTGTGGAACCAACCCAGATGCCCTTCAATAGATGAAGGGATAAAAAAAAAATGTGGCATTTATACACAATGGAATATTACTCAGCACTAAAAAACAACAAAATCATGGCATTTGCAGGGAAATGGATGGCATTAGAGCAGATTATGCTAAGTGAAGCTAGCCAATCCCTAAAAAACAAATGCAGAATGTTTTCTTTGATATAAGGGGGGTGACTCAAAACACAGCAGGGAGGAAGAGCATGAGAAGAAGATTACCATTAAATAGGGACGAGAGGTGCGTGGGAATGGGAGAGAGAAGGGGAATTGCACGGAAGATGGTAGGAGACCCTCACTGTTATGCAAAATTACATATAAGATGGTGTGAGGGGGAAGAAAAAAGAGAGAGAGACAAACATGTCACAGTAGAATGGGTAGAAAGAGGGGAGGGGAGGGGAGGGGGGATAGGAAGGGTAGCACAATACAATAGACACTAGTATGGCCTTATGTATAAATGTGGCTGTATAACCAATGTGATCCTGCAATCTGTACATGTGGAAAAATAAGATTAAGATTACGTACCCCATTTGAATCAAATGTATGATATGTCAAGCTCATTGTAATGTTTTGAGCAACTAGTAAAAAAATTTTAAAAAAAGAAACTGAGGTTTATCATGTCTAAAGTGGCAATAATAAAATTAAGACAAATACCCTATGCTTTTCAAACTATACCCATCTAATTGGGGGTGGCGGGGTGAGGGGATTGGCGTTGCTGGGGATGGATCCAGAGCCTCAAGAATGCAAAACACATGCTTTCTACAAATGTTAACAAGCTTTTGAACATTCTCAATACATAAAGTAATTTGGGGGTAAAAACTGCCCACTGACTAGCTAAGTGTGCAGCATTTCATAAAGGCTACCAACTGGTGGAAAGAAATTGCATTCATTATCGCTGAAGTCAACTGCATTATCTATTAAAAACAAGTAGTTCTCAAAGTACAAAGCCAAGAAAAACAGCATCAACAAATAGGGGTATGCGTTAAAAATGCAAATTTTCTACCGAAACCCTAGACCTAAAGAATCTGATTAAAAGCCTGGAGTCTAGCAATTAAGACCTCCAGGGGATTCTAATACCAGCTTAAGTTTGAGACCCATAATACTGAGGTAATATTATAGCAAATTTTAAGAACAGCCAGGTGCAATGGAGCATGCCTGAGGCAGGAGAATCAAGAGTTCAAAGCCTCCCTCCACAAAAGTGAGGCCCTAAGCAACTCAGTGAGACTGTCTCTAAATAAAATACAAAATGGGGCTGGGGGTGTGGCTCAGTGGTTGAGTGCCCAAGTTCAATTCCGGGTACCCTCCTCCCCGGCAATTTTTTTTTTTTAAAGAATAAAGGTAGCTAAGAGTGGCAAAATAACTGCAGCATTTCAGCAGAGCTTCACCTGGGCTCTGGCTCTGCTTCAAATGTGTGTGTGTGTGTGTGTGTGTGTGTGTGTGTGTATGGAGAGAGTGTGTGCATGGGCTCATGCCCAAGAGCGAGTTCACGCTAGCTACAATGACACTAAAAAGCTCAATACTTACTGTTTACTTCCCTATTATGCCCTATTATAGTCAGAGTTTCTGTTAACCATCAAGAAGTATCTTTACATTTTCCATTTAAAGGAATGTTTACAAATATCCAATTTTACCCAATTGAAGGGAAGGCCAAGTCCTCAGCAAGGAAAGTAAAACACATTTAGAACCCAGATGGCTTTCAACAGCATTTCTAACTCCCATTGATCTAAAAGTTGAGCACCTAAAACCATTCCACTAATTGCAACATTACAAAGGAAACAGTAATTAAATATAAGTTACCCTAAATAATAAGTAACCTATGTAAGTTCTTTGGTTTCTTAACTGACAAGTAAACTAAAATATATTAAAAATCGGAAATATTTTATACCCACACACAAGCACGCACACATGTGCATACACACGCGTGTACTTTTAAAATCCAGAGAACACACAGCAAATGGGATCTAACTTTTTAAAGTCTCAAATAATGATACAGTAAAAACAAAACAAGTCAAAGTCATATAAGGCAAATATTAACACAAACACAGATACTGAACTGTTAACCTTAATATAATTCAAGCACTTATTCCCTACACTATAATTTCAACAGGAAATTAAGAAAGTTTTCAAAATAAAATACTTTTTTTTTTTTTGTGGTATTGGGGATTGAACCCAAGGCCTGTGCATGTGAAGCAAGTACTCTACCAACTGAGTTATATCCCCAGCCCTTCAAAATACTATTTTTAAAGTCATGCAATTTGGAGGCATTATAGGGCTCCTGTATATTAACTTGTTCATAAACAACTTTTTAAAAATAAAACTTTTTACGAATTTTATAAATTTTGCTTTGAAATTCATTTTTCACGTAAGGATATTTCCTACTTGAGAAACTATTTCCATTTTACATTTATAATAAATTAGCCATCTCCCCCAAAGAACTTCCCTACATAGAAAATAAACAAGGGAAGTTTTCTTGGGTCCTACCTTTACCTCCCTTCCAGTGACTATAATTTTCTTTCTCTATTGGAATTAAAGTAAAACTCAGCTGCATATGTAAAATCACTTACTTATATAAGATTTTCTTCAACCAGGCCACACATACTCACTCAATAATCTCTTCTGTTAATATTTATTTTCATCCACTGAAACACTGTTCAAAAGAAAAACCCTGGTGCACAGTGGACCAGCCATGCCTAGCATGTGCAAGGCCCTCCATTAAATCCACAGTACAGCCACCTCCCCCTGCCCCTGCTCAAAATCCTCTTCTGTCACTTAACTTACATCCACTGCCTGCAAAGATGCCACAACTGTGCCCAAACTAGGTACTAAAAGAGAAACCTGAAATATTTTCTAATGTGCTTGAACTTTTGCTTTTGGTTGTCCTTTACTTTTCAGGAATATTTTTGCTTAAATTAAATGTATATTGCATACCTGATCCATATCTAAAGTTGTTTCGATCATTTCCTGAAACTTGGAGAAATCAGACCGAAGATCAATAAGAGGAGTCACAAAAACTGCCAACAACAACACCTGGTGTTTTCCTGAAAGAAACAAAAAGAAAGAAAGAAAAAGGTCTCATTATTAAAAACACAAGACCACTGATCATAAAAATTTTAGATAGTGAACATCATTTGATCGAAAAGCATGAATAGTGCAGTAGGTCTCCAAAGTTACTATTTATTTAGGTGTTTTAACTCAAAAATTAGTATTAAGTTTATTTTACAGAGAGGGAAATGATGTGATCTAGCACCCAAAGCTTCCCACTAATAAATCAATGCCTCCTCTGCATGTCTGCCATCTCCTTCAAAGGAGTACTAGAGATGCAGAAATGCAACATCAATTACAACTAAATTTCATTTCATTTTTTATAGATCTAATAACCCAAAATCAAAGCCTTTTTTTTTTTTTTTTTTTTAGAATTTTAGTGTTTATTTTTTAGTTTTTGGTGGACACAACATCTTTGTATGTGGTGCTGAGGATCGAACCCGGGTTGCACGCATGCCAGGCGGGCCCGCTACCGCTTGAGCCACATCCCTAGCCCAAAAGCCTTTAAAATAAGACCCTTAACAACTATATTCCTAATTTCCATAATTAACACAGTATATTCCAATTAACAGAGGTTAAATCAAATCAAATATTTAAATACTGGAACTTTGCTTAATGCTACGTAAAAGTACATGCTAGGGAATGATGTGAGGAGGAATAGAAGGGAAGCAACAGAGTAGATGGTGTGTAAAGGAGTAGAGACCAAGTGCCAGTACCAGCTTTGCTGCCCTCTGTCTTTGTCCTCTATAACAGGTTACTCTTAGTCCCCCTTTCCTTTTCTGTACAACAGAATAACAAGTTACCCAGAAGATGGATATACAACACCTAGTACAGTGCCAGACATTTAAAAGCACCTCAAAAACAGTTACTATGCATTATTACTATTACAACACAAGTACTTCCTCCACCTATATAGGGATTCTGAAAGTAATCTCTTAACATACTACATGTCGCACCAAAGAAATTATTTTCAAATTTACAGAAATGTCAGTAGCTCTTGAATGAGAAAAAGCTACCACAAAGTCAGTAAAATTATTTTTAAAATTCATGTTTTATTATTAATCACAACACGATCTACACATACTGAAAAAAGAATACACATGTGTGAAACACTCAGATTATAAACAACACTTTGCCCACATAATGTCTGTTGTGCTACAATGTCTGGTCCTTTATTCCTAGTTAGCTTAAGCACTATTGGTAAATAGAATGCTGGCAACAAATAGCAAGGGTGTCATTGGTTCACGAATGATTTCTTTTCCCCCAGCCCATTAATGTTTTCAAACCATCAAGGACAAGCTCACACAAAGAATAAGCTGTAGCAATGAAGACTTCAAAAGGGTCGGCTTAATGGCCACTGCGTTTTCACTGTGAAAGTGTAGGGGAAATGTGCAAAATTGTTTCTCAATAATAAAAAAACCGAATTTTATCCCTGGTACGGATTTACAGTTCTGATGAAACTGACCTCCGTTAGAAGTAAATGCCTCAAGAACTTACACAGGATGAAACAAGATCCTTAGATTCTAAGGCTACAAAGGGTTGACTAATGTTGGGTATAAATGCAGTGGAGGCCATGTTTCTATTGAAGTTTGTTGACACATGTGTTAGTAATGGTTTTAAAATTTTTGTGTATTTTGAGGTCTGCTTCAACCCTGTTTTTCCCATAAGCTCTGTTATTTTTCTAGCTCATGACTGTAGGTTTTCCAAGAAAACACACATGGTTATTATTACAGAAATGCCTGTATAAATATTAAAATCTGTCACTCTCACCATGTCCTCTAGCCCCTCAAACACCTAGGCCCACTTTATGTAGCTCTTCATAGAGTCTGTCTCCCCTTCTGAGTTCACCAGCCTCCTAACCTGCAAGCTTTCACTAGCATCTTGAGAGAGCCCTTCTTTTAACTGTTAACTTCTACTGAACCCTGGCTGCCAATTTCCACCTGGGGTTTTTATTTGTTTGTTTGTTGGGGGCCCTGGGGACCAAACTCAGGGGAACTCCACCACTGAGCCACATCCAAGCCCTATTTTGTATTTTATTTAGAAACAGGGTCTCACCGAATTGCTTAGCACTTCACTTTTGCTGAGGCTGGCTTTGAACTCAAGATCCTCCTGCCTCAGCCTCTCGAGCCGCTGGGATTACAGGAATGAACCATTCAGCTATCCACTAGATGCTTTGAAAACTATATTCTCCACTAGTTACCAGAGCCTACAAAGCACTATGTAAGCTAACAAGATCCATGGACCCCTTGAATTCAGGGTAGTACCATGAGCATAGAAGGGAAGTCAATTACACCTTTATTTTCCTAATCTCTAACTAAAATTTAGCATTTCCTTCCATTATTAATGTAGGCAATAAACATCAGTAGTACTACCAGTATCTGAGCCTTTGTTTCTAATAAAAATAAACCTATATTTTCATATCATAGTTTTTGGAGATATCTTAAAGTATCATTTAAGCTCATTATTACTTCAAAACTCAAAGAATTAGCCACGTGCAATGATGAACACCTATAATCCAAAACTGAGGAATCTGAGGTAGGAGGACTGAAAATCTGAGACCAGCCTGGGCAACACAGAGACTCTGCCTCAAAATAAATAAAAAGGGTTGGGGATGTAGCTCAGTGGTAAAGCATCCCTGGATAGAAGACCTTCTGTCAATTTTTTTTTTTTAAAGATATAGGGTCTTGTATTTTGTCCAGACTGGCCTCAATCTCCTGGGTCCAAGTGATTTTCCTGCCTTAGCCTCCCAAGCAGCTGGAACTAGATGCATACTCTACCATGCCCAGGTTATCAGGTTTTTCTTTTTTGCAGGGGGAGATGGGGACCAGGGATTGAAATCACGGGCACTTGACCACTGAACCACATCCCCAGCCCTATTTTATATTTTATCTACAGACAGAGTCTCACTGAGTTGCTTAGTGTCTTGCTTTTCCTGAGGCTGGCTTTGAACTTATCATCCTCTGCCACAGCCTCCAGAGCTGCTATGATTACAGGCATGTACCATTGCACCCAGCTAGGCTGTAGGTTTTTAAATGCATAATACAAAGGACATTTTTTTTTTTTTTAAAGAGAGAATGAGAGAGGAGAGAGAGAGAGAGAGAGAATTTTTTAATATTTATTTTTTAGTTTTCGGCAGACACAACGTCTTTGTTTGTATGTGGTGCTGAGGATTGAACCCGGGCCGCACGCATGCCAGGCGAGCGCGCTACCGCTTGAGCCACATCCCCAGCCCCAAAGGACATATTTCTATATCAAGAGTTTGTTTTAGCTGAGCATAGTGTTGAACACTTGTAACTGCAGCTATTCAGAAGGCCAAGGCAGGAGGATAGCAAGTTGGAGGCCAGCCTAGGTAACTTAGCAAGGCTGTCTCAAAATCAGAAATAAAAATGACAGGATGTAGCTGAGGGGTAGAGTGCTCTCACTCTCTCTCTATGTTTGTCTTACATTTAGATAGGCAGATTTCAACATAACTGATGTCCTTTATAACTCCACGTTTCATGCATTTAAACACTATTCACAGAAAGAGTTCATAGGCTATATTAGAAGCCAAAAGGATACATGGTACACGCACGTGTACACACACTCACAAGATTAAAAACATCAGATAGGCCTCACCTCTCTGCCCACACCTCTCAAAATAAAAAGGCTGGAGATGTAGTTCAGTGATAAGTACCCCAAGGTCCAATCCCCCCATCCCCAAGAGAGAGAAACAGGAATTTAATAAAAGTGGCAGTATAGTTTCATATAAGTTAAATGGATAAGAAATTTATAACTATTACAATAAATAATGTACCCTGCAAAAGATCTGAGGTTTGCTTTTAGAGGTGGAACTTCTGAAGGTCTACAGCTTGAATTATTTTGCGACGGTAAAAGGACATTTGTGATGTGACTCATGGCATACAATGAACTGAGGGAAATATCTGAAGGGTGTACATGTCTATGTTTTGTATATTCAGCTGGATGCAATTTTCTGCATTCATCTAGTATATCCCAGGCTGAAATCACGCATAAAAAAACATGAAATTCACATTATGCTCAAGTTGTTCTCTAATATATCAACCATATTGGAATAAATCTGTTTTTAAAATAAGGGTTACAGCAGAACTTTCGCTTAAAGTCTGTAACAGCCTGGCATAGTAGTACACACCTATAATCCCAGCGGCTCAGGCAGGAGGATCCCAAGTTCCAGGCCAGCCTCAGCAACTTAGCAAGACCCTGCTTCAGAATAAAAAGTAAAAAGGGTTGGGGACGTGGCTCGGTGGTTAAGCACCTTTGGGTTCAATATTTAATACCAATAAACAGAGAGAGAAAGAAAGAAAAAAGTAAGTTGGGGATGTACCCGCAACGATAGAGGTCTCTTTGGTTCAGTCCTCAGTAATACAACAACAACAACAACAAAAAAGGACTGAAACAACACACACTAAAATATTTATAATGACTACCCCTCTGGATGGTATCAAAGAATTTATGCCATTGGGCGGGGGTGGGGGTGGTGGTACTGGGTTAAAGGGCACTTGAGTCACATCCCGGGCCCTATTTTGTACTTTATTTAGAGACAAGGTCTCACTGAGTTGCTTAGTGCCTCACAGTTGCTGAGGCTGGCTTTGAACTCATGATCCTCCTGCCTCAGCCTCCAGAGCTGCTGGAATTACAGGCATGTACCACCTAACCTTATGCCACTTTTCATAAACTGAAAAAGATAAAATTTAAAGACAATATTTCCAAAATACAAAATCCATTGGCTAAAATTTAAAAAGTGCTAAGTAAATAAAGCAGATTCCTTTTAATACCTACATTCCAGAAATGCCAAACAATTCACTTTTATGTTTATTTCCTAGCAATCAAATAAATATGTGATAGTACCTTATCTTTGTTTTTTTAGGGTTTAAGAAATAACAGAGATAAGGTTTGGGGATGTAGCTCAGTGTAGGGCACTAGGCCCTGGGTCCAATCCCCAATAACAACACCCCCATACAACCCCCCCATAATAAAGGAG